AAAAACACGGTGCCAACAAAAAACACATAAAAACACCATGGTTTGTGCTACAAAACATCAAGCCAAGCTACCATCGCCTCAGACAGATTTCCACCGCAGGTCGCGTTAAACCTTGCAGCTCGCTTGGGCTGGTCGCGTTTCATTTTGATGCAGCTGACCAAGTGGTTCAAAGGGGGCCCGGCGGCCGTCGCCATCTTTGCACCGACCGGGTGGAGCAAGTATCATGATGAGCTGAAGATCTATTGCGGCTACTACCGGTTTCTCCGTGAAGATTTGGAAACTGTGCTGACTTCTGATTCTCCTATTGGCTGTTTATGTGATCTACTTGTATCATTAAAAAATTTAGTGGGTTTGCCCACCTACTTTGTGCGTTTGATCTACTTGAGTGGCTTCACATGTTTTGAAAAAGACACGAAAGACACTATACTGTCACTGTTTTTGGGTGTGTTGCTTCGTTTAGCTACTCAAGCAGCCCTTTGGTGGCTAATTGCTGCACACAAAACGGCATGGTGTTTTGCGTTGTATCCTTCAGGCGCTCAAACAAGTGGCCATTCCTTGTATTCCCCCGACACCGCTCCAAGCAGCTTGATCAAACCACACCGCTGGTGCATTCTTCGCACCGCACCGGGTTTCCCGGTTCGGACGTCGAAGTCTGTCCGAGGTTTGTCCTGGTGCTCGCCCTCGTGGGGGTGAGGGCATTCACCTATCAAAGTGCCACGGTGGAGGGTCCGTATGCTCCAGCCTTCAACTGGTCAGCCACGATCTTGATCCTTGGACTGACTGATCAAAAAAAGCCAACAAAAAGCACCAGAAGTTCTGGATGAGACCAGTTGGTAGATGGACCCCCGTCTGAAAGAAACCTCTTGGACCCAGCATGTCTGACAGCGGATCGATCCGACACGGGCTTTCGGGGCACACACCCGTGCGAGTTCACGACCTGTGTGGGTGACGGAGAGTTGACCTGGAGAGTTGAATGCACTGCAAAGCCACTTTGGAAAGCTGAACTGGAGGACAACCAGACTAGGGAGACCTCCACAAGACTTGGCACACCTGAAAGAAAAAGACAGCTCCACCACACCTGGGCGGACCAACCCGGGCGCATGCAGTCCTCTCCACTCCCGAGGATTCCGGTGTTGATGCTTGCGGAGATCTTCGAGGACGAGATCGTCACGCGGGAGTTGTTGCCCGTGAACCCGGCCGGCGCCGGTTTGTTGAAGGTCAACGTGGCAGGAGGGGCACGTGACGTGTGAAGATCGAAGAAGACCTGGAAGATGTGAAGATCTATAGGGTTGTAAGGGGAAAACATAGCAATGGCCTCCAACCTAAGAGCGAGGCCTCCAACCTACTAGCGATGACCTCCAACTTACTAGCCTCCAACCTAAGAGCGATGGCCTCCAACGTAAGAGGAATGGCCTCCAACCTAATAGCTCGAAGGACTTACTAGATTCGGGGGTCAGTCAGAGGGAATCCCTGGTTACGAGGGTCCAGCTCTTATGGCTGCTGCCAGGGTGCATGGATTCACTTCAGCGGCAATGTTCGAAGCGGTTCAAAGACGGCAGCAATTTTTTGTCCAATTGCTGCGGCTGGTTAAACCCGTCGAAAAGAAGACTTGACTGGCTGGATATTCAATGGACTTGAACGCAAACACTGAGCACCTCGAGAGTTCTTTGGACCGCCCAAACTCTGATTTATATGGAACTACAAGACATCATGTGTCTTTTATTTTGGTGCAGGAAAACATTTTGGCGCAGTCGAATTGGGTGCAGTTCCGGGTCCATTTTGGCACCCAGTTCCATCCAGTCCGTTTGCAGAGCCAGGAGACAATGCAGATCCAGCACAGCTCATTACCCTTGAGTACTTGAACAACATCCCGGAGAATGATCCCTGGAAGATGTTCGAGCTGGAGGCCTCCGGCAAAAGGCCGGCGGGACCGCTCGCAGGGCGCGGAACCGCGGACCGCTTGGTCCGCCAATCTCCGGACCGCAACAGGACCGCAAAACCGCCTGTTGCCGGACGGCAGCGAACGAGCAGAAAACAGCTGAGAAGTCGAAGTTGACACCGTTCGAAGTGGACAGACTTACGCGGAACTAACTATTTTTAAACTTACGTGACGTAAGTTACGTGGAATGTTTCACTTTCCTTTCCTGTAGACTGTAGACAAGCTCAGTGCATCCTCAGCACAAAAAAGCAAGAAAGCCGGTGGTAGACACTTTTTGCCATCAAGAAGAGCCAGACCACCAACCAGAATACATGTAGTTTATCAAGGCAGCATGGCCCTTTGCTCGGTTTGGCTTCGGACGATTGGTTTTGTTTGTTGAACTGCGAGTATGCCACCTTCCTCGCTGCGAGCGGCTGCTGCTCAAGCAAATGGTGGAGGAAGACAAGTCCTCACCACTGATGGACCAAGTCCAGACACAGCATGTATGATATTCAATAAACACATGAAAGTTACTATGATAAATTTGCAGTTTTCATGCTGTTCTCCGATAAGACAGAAGACTTGTCCCACCATGTCCCGTCAAACGTGAAGCGCACCTCTTTCGCAGGTCGCAGATGAGCTCCTTGAGAAGAACTTCCTCCAAACTCAGCTTCGGCAGCATTGGCGCGAGCACCAACACAGCACGCACCGTCGAATCCTTCGGAAGGCCGCCTCCTGGCGCTAAATCCTTTGAGGATTTTCTCATGGTTTGTATGTTCAGGAACCGATGGTGGAGTTTTACATAGTACTATGTTTTACTGGAACTCTGGACGACTGGGGAAGCTCACGTCATAGGCAGCGGCAGCTCGACACCCGATGAACCTGCCCAATCTCGGCGGTTCGGAGGGACTCTTTTGGTGAAACCCACTCACTAACCTTGTTCCTAGTAACTTCTTGTTTCTACTAGCTTCTTGTTACTATTAGTAAGGCACTTGTTACTAGTAGCGATGCACTTGTTCGTAGTAGCTTCTTGTTTCTAACTAATATCTGTTCGTTTCACCAATGACACATTTGATCTCAGGACGAAGAGTGCCTCCTTGGGAACGAGCGACCGCTACGTGTGGGCACGCTTGCGAAGGTGGTTTGGACAGCCCAGGCAGGGTGACTGGAGACTGTGGAGAGCTCCAATTCACCCTTTCTTTTTTCATCCAAATAGTACGTGTTTGAAGAAGCGGCAAATCTGGATGGCTTTCTACCGCTCACGGGCTAGAATCCAATTTCTCCTTTCGTAGCTGTGGGACAGAAGGAATTCCCAGAAGCATCATGAATTAAGCAATGGCAGAGTTCTGTTGTGTATTAAAAAAGGGGGAACAGGAGAAGAGAGTGCCTGAACAACACCCTCTATATCGAAAAAACATGTTCGGTATATGTTCCGAAGGTCGTCTCACGACTCGATAGTCTTCTCCATCCAGGGCGTTGAACTCCTCTCCGGCGCTTCACGGACTGCGGGAGCTGCCCTTCATGATTCACGCGACTTGGCAGGAGCGCCTTTTGCGACCTCCCCGAACCGAGCGCTTTGTTCACGACTCCAAAACGGCGCACGCTCTCGTCGAGCGCGTAGCACGGAAAAAGGCGCGAGTTGGGTTGCGTCTTTTTCTGCGAGGGTGGTGGAGAAGACTCGGCAGAAGACTCGGCAGGGCTGGGTTGGTTTTGGGACTGTGAGGTGAAGGTCGAAGAGCGACAAAAGGGGTGTGAAAGACTGGAACCTGAAAGACATAGGGGCCTGGCTTCAGGGTGGTGCAGGACTTTACTTTGAGCCGGCGGGTGTGGGCTTAGAGAAATTGCTTGGCCTCGGTTTGGGGCAACATGCCATATTCATTCAACGTGCCAAATCAATTCAGAGCCTTGATCAATGAACCAGAAAGAACAATGACGACATGTTTCTAATCTCAACCTCAAATGAGCTGTATTTTCCGAAAAAAACACCTTGCTGGTCCTCTGCCTTTGCCCCCCCCTGCCTTCACATTTTTGGGTCTAATGTTTTTCCGCCTTGCCCAGTTGAGCTTCATAGGGATTGTGGCAGAGTTCACAGCGGGCCTGCTTGGTCTACTGGTGGGCGCGGGCTACATCCGCGGCATTTGTGAAGCGCCGCTGCAGAGCTCCGGACGGATCTTGGGGCTGATTTGGTGGGATTCTCCGTTGCCATGCTGAGAATCAGGCGGCTGATACGGCCGTCTTGAGCAGCTTGAGTGTCTTGCCACAGTCTTCAGACTTCTGCGCAGATTCAATGGCTTCTCTTTATGAGAATAATGTTCACCAGGATTCGGCGATTCGGTCAGGATCTGAATGATGAGGGGACCTCCAGTCCAACTCCCCATATTTTGAGAGTGAGCGTGGTGCCATCAGAAGCCGGAAAAGCCGGTGAAGTCAGGTCTGCCTTCTTCGTTTGATCCAGTGGCCAATGCAAGTTCGGTCCTCCGGTAGGCTCCTTATGAAAAACCTCTGGACACTGGGATCGAAGTCCCGGAAATCATGGTGAGAATGGGGGCGTTCGATGAAGGAGACCCCATGTGAAGGAGACCCCACGCTGATTTGGGTGCTTCGTTAGTGGTCTATCAGTCGCCTCCCATTTGGGAAAAAAAAGAAAAGGAGTGGCTTCGGATCCTTCCAACCGGTCCTCTGTGCTTCTGGAGTAGCATTCTTTCTGTGCTTCTGGCCACGCTTGGGGGCCCCCTCGTCTGTTAACGCCGCTTTCCGCGATGACGGGCTTGGTACGATGCCGCTCCCGCACGAATGTGCAGGGGTTCGCCTGCCGCGTGAGGCGTCTCAGCTTTTAGTGTGAGACGGCACCTCTTTTGGAAATAGCAATAGATTGACTGGCGGCCTTTGTAGAATCAGAATAGTTCGGTTATTTCCTTCTAGATGAACATGTCTTGAAGTATCTGACGATTGGGGAGTGGCATGGGACAATTAGGAGCTTTGCTTGGAAGAAGGTACCATACCAGAAGTGCTACTCAGCGACAGCTCACACATCAAGCCAATAGAACCACTGAAGCGTTCACAGCTCCTCACACACATCTAGTGGGCTGGAAGGAGATTGTTGTCGAACTTAGCACATAGCCGACTTGGACATTGTGAAGCATGCAGCACCGTGCCAACAAGAGGATGCCGTTCTCAACTAAGTCGAAATTTCCGGGTTTGGGTGCTTTTTGAGGTATCCAGACCTCGAAACAAACATTCAGAGTTTCTTAACTCCCAGACCTAGACGATTGGTCTAGGCATGGCGGCTGTGTGCTTATCAGGTCGCCACCTTTATCTCCGTTTGGTTCTAATTGCGTGCCATCAAGACATCAATCATCCGTGCCATTGCGGCAAGAAGCGCTGTGAGAGTGGACAAAATTGGAAGCGAAAGTTTCGGAAGACGAAACAACGATTTGGAACATTTTTTTCCTGCAAGTTTATACATGTATGTTGTAAGATATCCACATTTGTGGCCTTTGTTTTGTATGGATGTTTGAAATCCTTCGTCTTTGAGGTTGAATCGCACGATTCTTCCTGGGGGTTGGCTTTGGGGAGGAGAATTGCGGGTACCACATGGGTCAATTTGTCCAATCTTTTGGGTTAATAACCTCTTGATCGATCATTTGACCATGTCTCATACAGTACCCGTGCGTGGTTCACCTTGAAGAACCTTGGGTGAACAGACCCTCTGTTGGTCAACTGATGGCCGAGAGGGAACATGTAGACATGATAGGAACAAGGACGCTAGACCCGAACAAAGGGCATCGCTACGAACGGAGCGGTCGGAGCTACTAAGGGGCTCCTGGCCTTACTAGTAACAAGAAGCTACTAGGAACAAAAGTTGAACATGTATCATTCTTCTTTTCGTCTTTTGAAGCATCCGGGTGTGTAGCTGACATGGGAGACAGAACCCTAGCGTTCTGACCCCGGAAAAATCGACCAGTTCCACCCTAGTTACCTTGGGGCTGCCCGTTCTTGCCTGTAACAGTCAGGAAACAAGCAAATCACTGTTTTGGAACAAGGCCGTTACTAACCATCATTCATCATCCACTGTTACAGGGAATAGGATACATGCAAAATACACAGCTCATGCAGTGTGATTCCCGGTGGGCGACCCTGGCCACGAGCCACGAGTCTGTATCCACCGGTTTTCCATCGTTCGATGGGGATGGTTGGGAGCAGTTGGGGAGCCTCGCTTTCCAAAGTGCTGAGCATGGTAGCATGTTACGTCATGCTTTTCCAGGGCGACCTCAGGATCGATAGGTTTCTCGTGACAACTAGGACACCTTGGTCCTTGGGTGGCCCATCAGTGATATCACTGAAGGACACATTGATGCATCGAAGCGCACCTGAACATGGAATCAACTATCTTGGGCACCGACTGATATAGTCATTCACTATCACTATCCAAATCATGAGCCCTCAGAATCCATTTTGCAAGCAAATGCTGGACATCATGTCGATCAGAGAAGGCTATACCGACCTAGACTTCGGAGGTCATCCCCGAAGTGTGGACCCCGGGAGAGTGCACATCGGGTCGCCGCAGCTTTCGGAGCGCCGCGACGGATTCGACGTCGATCCTGGGCGGAATGTTTACTCGATCCAAGTCCCTCCGATTCGGGGTGTCCAGCATGTCCCCCGATTTGGGGGTGTCCATTCGCCTCATCCCAAATCGAGCCACGCTTTGGACGCTGGTGGTGATGAATCCATCTGACTCCAATAAAGCACACCACGAACGAAGCCGTTTCAGCGCACCATTTCGGCCAGGCCGGTGCTGGCGCATGAGATCTTGACACAGAGCCACCGGTGCCAGGTGCGGGTCTTCCGGGTCTTCCGGACTGGGAAGAACTGGGAGGTCCACAGAACTGGGGTTTTGGAAGACACGGGGGAGGGCATGGTATGTTCCCGAATGCGTCGCGGAATGCGTAGTACGCGAAGGGTTCTCTTTTGTTTTTCCTGCCAATCATGTCAGCATTCATCGGTAGACAGTAGACTGTTCAGTTTTGCTGTACATGGAATACGAGAAATGCAGATTCTCTTTTGTATGGGTCAAGTTGTCAGAACATGTTCAATGTCAAAGATGTGGAGCCCCAAGAGCAAAGAGATGGGTTTTATGACAGGAGCCATGGAATTTCTCACGTCCTAGGCAAGTTGCTTGTTGGAGTTCGGGGAGTGTGAGCTGCTCAAGAAGCCCTAAAGGCTAGGGAATCAAGTACTTTCCTTTGCCCTTTTTGTGATGGGGTCAAACCCTTTGTTGCAGAGGATGCCTGGAGTAACAGTTTGGTAGGTTCACAATCACAAGCCTGCCAAGAGCATGGAATCAATGACAAAGATAGTATGACCCTCATCTGCCTTCAAATACTTTGGGTATCTTTGGGTCAATTCTTCTCACATTTCTTGGATTTCCGTGTTTATATATATATATATCTTGTTTTATTGTTTTTGGACAGTTCATCATGATTCATAACTCCTCTTTGCCCCACCCCTCGGGTGCACACCTGCACGGAGGTGCTGGGCACGCTGCTGGACGAGGCGGAGGCCAAGTCCAAAGGAAAGGTCCGGGAGATCGCCTTCCCCGTCTCTGAGGCCCGGCCCGGTCGAAGCGGTCACACGTGGAGCGAGCACCGCTTCTTCGGTGTCAGCGGTGGGAGACAGGCATTTTTCTGGTTGTCTTTTTCTTTTTTTGTGGGGGGGGTCTGTGTGGATGTTGGTGGTGGTTTGCTGCAGGGAGGTTCTTGGGCAGTGTATGTTTTGGTTCGGAAGTGGATGCCGTGTTTCGAATTTTGCAGGTGGATAGCCCAGTCCAATTCTGGTGTAGCATGCTACCAAGTGATGATTCAGCAGGATTTGCGCACGTGGAGCTGGAACCACTTGCGCACCTGGCACTCCTGCTCTGCGTGCCTCTTGCCGCGAGGCAGCAGCGCAACTCGCTCGCCTGAAAGCCCAAGAGAAGCGGCTGCTGGAGGTTTGGGACATGTCATGTCGCTGCTGGTCGCGATTGCACCAATGTAACTGTGGGGATGGGTCGTGACAAGACCATCGACCAGTCTTGCACCAAGACCACCTGGAGCGACCTCTAGTCTACCTGGTGCACAGCGCGAGCGAACGTTACCAGGAATATAGATCAAGCGGTGGGTCTCTTGGTGGTGCCACGACTCACAGGCTTCGGTGTGCACGACACTTACGACTCGCACGACGCGCACGACTCGCCGAACTCCACGAAAGAACATGTGGACCCAGCGAGGTGGTGGACTGTCCCGAAGCACTGTGTGATGGCTGAGGACTTGACTTCATATCCTGGGGTAGGTTTTCGGCCACCAGAAACTTGTTTGCGACTGAAGAAACCTCTTGTTGGGAAGGAGGTTCTGCCTTGGACGAGGGTATGACATGGTATGACAACATGACAAGCTTGTGGTAGCTGGTCAGCGTGTGGGGTGTCGTGTCCTAGTGACTTGGACTTTCCAACTTCCTCACGTCAGGAGGGCGAGGTCTCAGATGCCAAGATCGCAGAGCTCTCGGCCAGGGCTGCCGAGATGTCCCGAGATCGCCGTAGTCAGCGTAATCAGCGTAGTCTGCGTCGTTCACTTGCATAGTTTCTTTCTCTTGGTGACTTTCCAGAAAATGGGTGAAAGCTCTAAGGGTGGGCTACTGTAGTTGGTGGCTTTGCTCACCGCATACATGGCTGGAAGATGGACTGAGCGACTAAATTTTTAAAATATACCTCACGGGTGGATGCTCTTCTTGTTTTCTCGCGGAAAGGTCCCCTCAAAGATTAGATGAGCGGATTGATTCATGAAGGCTTTCCATTCAGGGGATGGGTGATTCTCATGCAGTCTTGAGCAAGAGAAACAGAGAAACGAGTCTGACAGTCACATTTGCCAATGTGCCGAGACACTCTCCTTTCCTTTTAGACATTTCAACTTTCTTTTTTGGGCGCCAGACACCAACTGTGAGCTCCAGACCGGACCACCAACCTCCAGGCGACTGTGTGTGTCTGTTTGTGTCACCCTGAGGCCCAAGTTCGAAAGTTGGAGAAGAATCGGAAGGAGCTCCTGTCGGCCCCGAGACCCAGCAACAACCCACTGGGGGGG